GGCTTGGTTGCCCATGGCTAACCAGTACCATTCTGAAATCCATTGACAAGAAACACCAACATGAAAAGCAATATAGACAGGGCTTAATACACAAAGATATTCTTAAACACTATTCATCAGTTCTCACCAAAGTAATAAGGAAAGCCAAACAACTATACTACTCCAGTAGATTCACAGACACTAGAGGAGATATAAAAAAGACCTGGAAAACACTCTCTCAGATTCTAGGGACCCACAAACTGAAAAAACCAAGAATATTGTTCTAACTAAACCGAATGAAACACCACTACATCCCACTGACACAGCTAACAAGATAAACGACTTCTTCTCAACCATAGGATCTAATCTCGCCAATAAAATCCCACATACCAATGCCCATGTCGGGGACTACCTAGATGGGAATTTCCCAAATTCCTTCTATCTTGCACCAACTGAGCCCTCGGAAGTCACCGAGATTATAAAATCACTTAAAAACAACTCAGGGAATCTGTCTAATGTCCCACCATTACTGTACAAGCGAGTGGCCCATATCCTTTCGCATGCTATTTCATTACTTTTTAACAAGTCACTAGAAACTAGCACCTTCCCGAAACTACTCAAGATGGCAAGGGTTACACCAATACATAAAGGTGGTGACCCTACAGACTTAAACAACTATAGGCCAATATCAAACTTACCATTGCTATCCAAAATCTTTGAGAAACTCATGCACAGGAGATTATATTCATTTATAACAACACAAAACATACTCAACCCCTGCCAATTTGGATTCAGGAAAAATAAAAGCACTAATGATGCAATCATCAAAATGCTAGATCTGCTTTACACAGCATTGGAAAATAAGGAATATCCACTAGGAATTTTTATTGACCTTAAAAAGCTTTTGACACAGTAGACCACGACATCCTACTCCACAAACTTGACCATTACGGTATAAGAGGCCATGCGCTTGCTTATTTCAAATCTTACCTTACTAATAGGTATCAGTATGTCACCATTAAAGACACAGCATCAACAACACGGCCACTTGATACTGGAGTTCCGCAGGGAAGTGTCCTTGGTCCCCTGCTCTTCCTCATATACATCAATGATCTTCCAAACATATCCCAACACCTGAAACCCATTCTCTTTGCTGACGACACGACTTATGTCATCTCTCCCCTAATCTTGCCACCCTCAACACCACTGTTAACGAGGAGCTGATCAAAATATCGACTTGGATGACAGCCAATAAACTTACGCTTAACACTGACAAAACCTACTATATTATGTTTGGTAACAGAGCAGGAGATGCACAAATTAACATTAAGATCGACAACACCCTAATTACCAGACATAAGAGGGCAAATTCCTAGACCTATACCTTGACAACAACCTGAATTTCAGCACCCATATCCAACACATAACCAAAAAAGTATCCAAAACGGTTGGGATCCTCTCCAAGATACGATACTACGTGCCGCAAACTGCCCTTATCACACTATACCATTCACTTATATATCCATACCTCACCTATGCTATTTGTGCTTGGGATCAACTGCAGCAGCACAACCTAAAGCCAATAATAACCCAACAAAAAGCTGCAGTAAGAATAATCACTAAATCCCATCCCTGGCAACACACCCCCCCACTCTTCATATATCTAAACTTACTCCCTGTTCAGTACATCCACACTTACTACTGTGCAATCTACATCTACAGGACCTTAAACTCCAATATCAACCTTGACCTAAAATGCTTTCTTGATAGTTGTGACAGAACCCACAGGCATAACACCAGACACAAACATCTCTTACGACATTCCCGTGTCTGACTAAACCTTTACAAAAATTCAATGTATGTCAAAGGCCCTAAAATCTGGAACACCCTACCTGAGAACTCTAGAACTGCAGACACATTCATCACCTTCAAAAACTACCATTAGAAAACATCTTATCTCCCTGATACAACCCCATCAACTAACTACCGAATACCACCTGGTGGTTCACACTTACACTCACTCACCCATTTGACCATAAACAGAAATATTAATCTCAATCTTAAATAATGAATCCTATGATACCCCAATTGAAACTAGACTTTCCCAAAAAAAAGCATTCCATTGCTAAATACAAATATATTTATCACTTAGCCATAATACAACTTCCCTCAAAATTTTGTAAATTTTTAAAAAAAAAAATTTTAAACTAAGTTGCCCGAAAGGGCCTAGCCTGCTAGCGTTCTAGTGGTACACTCTGTAATCATTTTTAAAAACTACTGTAAACCACACAACAAACAAATTTTCTGTAAATTTAACATTTTAATCTTTATAGGGGGAAAAACTTAAAGTGCGATAGGTAACAAAATTTCATTCATTTAGGATTTAGCTAACGACCTTTTTGACTTAAGTTTTATATTTTTATTGAAATTGCCAGTACAATGAATTTAACTTTGTAATGAACACTTTTCATTAATGACTCTTTTGGTATATAATTTAGTCCCTCTGTTTTCTGCCTAATTTTCTTTCTTTTTTTAAATAACTGTTCACCAAACCCAAAAATTTTTAACATTTTAAATTTTCTGGCTTTTTAGTTGCTGGCCCCGCCCAATGATTGTTACGGTGCCTTAAGCAATGTTATATTAATCTTTTTATTTCACTTATTTCCTGTTCTTTTCTTTTAAACTCTTGCAATTAACAGTTGTGTATTTTTATTAAATCTTTTTTCTTGCACTCACTCTCACTTACATGGTGTTGCATAATTGTTTCACTTGCTTCTAAAATTCAAAACTTAAGTCTTCCACTGCATTTTTTTACTTAATTCTTCCATTTAACACTATTCCATTACATATGTTCTTTCTGATCTTGAACTATTCACTTACATTTTAAATATTCTCCTACTGTACACTAGTCCTTTTTCCACAAAACATCATGAAAATCCTGAAGATTTTTCTAGCAAATATAAAAGCAAGACTTCCAGGAATGTCTGGAATACATCTAACTGAATCTTGTCAATGATCCCTTGGGCTCTAGAAAGACGCAAGACCAGATGATACTCCGCTCCTGTGAAGATGTGCCTAGTGGATATTCAGTGCTAGTTCAAGTAATGATATTTCCTGTGGAGCAGCTTTACCACTATGTGGAGGAGGAACTGAAGGAGGCTGGGATATAGAGAGAAATGATGACTGAGGAGTAAACAAGAGGATTTAAAGCAATCTTCATGAAAATGAGAAAAAAAGAGGAAGTAAATGAACAGTAGCTGAACACAAGATTAAGAGCAAAGGAGTTGTGGAAACTATTAACTCATCTGCTGTGCTCTGTGACAAGTGCAAAATGTCTAATGCAGCAACAAACCACTACGATGTTAGGAAGCACCTGAGGAACTAAAGTTAAGCCCATTCTTGTTGCTGGAGAGATTCGTGTAAAGTACAAGGATTGTGCATTTTGTGACAGGGACAGGAAGAACAGAATGAGTTTATCTTCTTGGTGCTGGGATTAAGGATTTTGTGGACACGACGAAGTGGTATCATGTAGGGAAATGGAAATGAACCTGTTTTTCTCAGTGCTGAAGGTATCGATGTTAAGAAGGCTAAAAATGAGGAGTTATTGAAAAGGTTTAGGAAGGCTATTGATATTAAATAATGGGGTGGTACATTTGTTGTATGTGGTATTCTACCTATAATGAAGGTTGGGAAACAAATGGCTGTCTTGGGTCACTAATATTAATTGTTGACTAAATAAATACTGAGGTGAAGATGATGAAGTTAACCGACAGTTGGGATACCTTTTATTTTTTTTTTTTTTGGGGGGGGAGACAAGGTACACCGTATGCTGAATTAAACTTTTGATATTCAAAAGTGCCTGGTTTTTATGAGGAGAGAAGTTAGTAACCTGTCTGGGGGTTTGTAGTGAAATTAACATGAACAGGGGGTTAAGCCTCATAGAGGCTGAAGATGAAATTACTTGGGAAGAAAAGGTGTTGTGCAGTTGTAAACAATGAAAATGACAAATGTTCCAAATATAGTTAAAAAAAAACGTTGGATATTGATAAAAGTGCCAAAAATAACAGCTTCTTGAACCTTTGTAGAACAGCATGAAATGTCTCCATCAGAGCAGGAACCTGTCTTGGCATCTTGTCAAACGTAAGACCAAGCCCTGAGAGCCCTAATATTTCTGAAATAAATTCTGAAAGTTCCTCAAACAGGCATACTAGGGCCTTGTAAACTAGGGATGCCCTTCCAAGGAGGCAAGGACCAGAGAGTGTCACGGAAAATCCCCAAGGTCCCAAAATCCATTGCTGATTACTACAAACCCTTTTATAGTAGGATAACTTCTGTGCAGCACACCAAAACCAGAGAAATGATAATTCAACCTTGCAGTAATAAGGCAAAATAAATACCTTAACTCCTCCATTCAAATTATGTGACAAGGTAAACTATCATAGGTCCTGATTTATGTAAATAAGTATGCTGAGTGATACTTTTGTAGAGTATAGATAGAATGATAACTGGCTTAGAGGCATCTTAGTTTTGAAGGCGCTGAAATAATGGGAAAAAAAAAATCTTAAAAAAAAAAACACAAAAAAAAAACTACCCTATGGGAGATGGTAAGATCATGAAATGCAAAGTGGGCAGATAAGTTATAAAGTTCATTAGGATCACTGCCTGGTGAAAAAAATACTGTAAATACGATAAGTATAAACCTATACTGTATATTTTTTTATGTCTGCAGACCCTGATGATTTTTTCAAATCCTCTCCAACTGGTGATTAGTAGATCAAAAGACCAAATTCCAACATGTAAACAGTAATGTTAACTTTGATTCCAGATGGCTGACAGTTGGAAAATCAAGTGTCTGTTATATAAATTAAATACAACATACAGTATTTACAAAATTATCCTAAAATCTGAAAAAAAAATAGCATATACTGCTTCAGTAATATTATGTTACTCATAAACTGAAAATAACAGATTATTATTTGATACATTAAAAACATACAAAAATAAACAAAATTGTATGTTACCTTCAGAGAGTCGACTTTGTGAAACTGTCGAGTTGTAGTTCCATTTTCTGTCGTCAGAGGCTGGAGAACCTTAGGTGAACTTTCTTTCTCCTTCAATCCTCCTCCAACAGGCTTTGAATTCATATCACATATTGAAAGTATATCACTACTTTTTTTAGTACTTTCACTTTCTCTCTTAACTATTACAGGTTGTTGTTCACTCACAGGGGATGCTTCGTTGTCACTTTGGCTTTCCCCTACTTTTTTATTTTCTTGAGCATATTGTATATCTTCACTATCACTTTCTCTTGTTGGTTGTAACTTAGAAAAGTTTTCATGGGGTTTTATATTTAAATCATGTTCTTCCGAACTTCGTATGCGACCTTCATCCATTGCTTTCTTAAAGCTATCACTCCGGCTTATTTTATCCTTATTTGCATTAAGTTTTGAAGAATCCCCCACAGGTTTATCTATTACACTGGTCCTTTCCTTTGGCATGTTTAATTTCTTTGATAAAAGTTTTCCAAAGGCTCTTTCCAAACATTGGCTACCCTGCACACTATTACTGCTTGAATGAATATCTTTTGATATAACTGCACTATCATTATTTACAACTTTTTCACTACCATCAGGAGAAATTTTGGTTTCTACACCTTTGTTGAGGTCATTAATTGGACTCTTTAACTGTTGTTTGGACTCTGAATCTACTGGTTCTTTTTTTTCAGTTTCCTCTGTGGTTCCTGCTGACTCTATTGCAGTTGCTGTTATAGGTGATCTTACTATTGTCAATGAGTGTGTTAATTTTGTTGGGGCTGATTGTGTTGTTGAAGTCTCCACTGGTGTGTGTGTTTCAGTCTCTGATGCAGTGGTTCCTGCTGGTGCTGCAGTCGTTGTAATTGGCCCTGGCGATGTAAGCACTGCTGCTCTCAGCTTACTTTTGAGTAACCCTGTTGGTCGAGGTTTTGCATCAACAAGATGTGATTTGTCTTTAGTAGCATGTGTTTCTTGCTGCATTTGAGGTGTTTTAACTGGAACACTGGTGACTGGAGATGTAACTTTCTTAGAGACAGCATCAGGTAAGTTGGTACTTACTTCCTTTTGCTGATCTGCATTTTCTCTTTCTGTTCGTTCTTTATCCTCCATCTCCATTTTTTCCTTCTCCTCTTTTGCTTTTAAGAGCTCTCTATCCATTCTTTCTTTCTCTTCCTTGGCTTTTAAGAGCTTTAAGCGTGCAAAAAGAGGCAAGCCAGCACCAATGACTTCATGTTCTTCCTCCTGCTTAGGAGGTTCTTGTTGCTTTTGTTGCTTAGCGTCCTCTTCTACCTTCAGTCGTTGTCTCTCTCTGTCCTCTTTTTCCTCTTTTTCCTTAAGGAGCTTTAGACGCTGTAGAAGAGGTAATCCTGCACCTAAGACACCTTGTGTCTCCTCATTTGATGGTACCCTGCCAGGGCTGACAGTCTGATTCATCTCATCACTAGTTACCCGAGCCATCCTCTTCAAGACGCCTCGTGCTCCCCCTGCTGATGAATCACTGCCACTACGGCCACTAATCCTCCTGAGAGAGATGGTAAGTAGCATTGGTTAGTAAGAATAATAAGCCTGACATATGGAATGTGGAGGAAAAATTGGGGAAGTTTTTAGGAGAATAATAACAGTGAATTTTGCAACAAATCAGAAACTGAGTTCGAGTTGAATAATGAACTCTATAATATAAAATGTAATGAATAACATTACATATATGTATACATGTATGTATGTATGCCTGTATGTATATATAATCATTATTATTATTACTCGTTCTCGAGTTATTGGAAGACTTATGCATGGCAAATCAAAATACATGTATAAGCTAGTAGCTCCATCACTGTACCACAGCCACAATCTGTGACTCATTGCATGTATATCTAAGTCTACAGTATTTGGCTTGTTGGATGATCTCACTACTAGGAACTCTCATCTTACAGTGGTAGAGCTGGTGGCTTGTGTTTTCACTTGACATGTTAGTCTTTGCCAACTCTCGGAATATTAATATTATTTATTAGAGTTATTCTATATTCACTGGCGATACTGAAAGAGGGAGGAGAAGCAAGAGCTGTACTCTGTCAGTGTTTGATTTGCGAACTGAAATCTTTGTTGGTGGTTATGCTAACATTCCAAATTATATGTTATGTGGCATGTTGGGCAATCTCATTATTGGTAGCCTCGTGATACAATGGTAATGCTACTGGCTCATGTTTTGAATTGCCATGTTCAGGTCTCCTGACAACTCTCAAAAAAAGTTATGACTGTTTATTAGAGTTATTACACTGTCATTGATGATAGGGTGAAATGTCAAGTGAAATATGATCTCTAAAAATTTACATGTATATCGAGTTGCAATAGGCAAAATTTGCAATAGTCAACAAAGAATTCCCTGAATGGGAAAACACAGGTTTAGACACTGCATCTATAATTTTTTAAATGTTTAAAAAATTATAGATGCACAGTTATTGTAAAAATAACTTATATACACTTTTTTTGTGGTGGCCATATTCGATTTACAAATTCTGCAAAATGCTCAGTGCTACTGTGGTGGCCTTGATCTGCAAAAAATGGACAGAGTAATTCCAGGTTCAAAAAACTGATAAGATGGTTGCTGGACTACTGAGTATTCACTGAGATTATGTTCATGGAGACACTGCAGTTGCTGAAAAGGAATGCAAATGTCCTCTTGAACACTGAGACAGGGTATGTTGGAGTATTTGAATGTGTGGCAATGAATAGGTCAGTCTTCACTCAAGTAAACCCTCTCGTGTATATGTCATAACTGAAGTTGTATAGATTATTCAGATGTGTAAAGTAAGGAGGTAGCTTGTATAAGCTATGGTGATTAACCCCAACACCTAGAATGGGGTAGCCTTTCTAACACTTCCCTTCCACACTCAAAAAGTTGCAATTCTTTTTAGGAGGCTCATCATGCGTATGGAGTTTGATAGGAAAACCATCCTGCATGATGGATGTATTAACCCTATGACTGTTTCGGTTGTATATTTACGTCTTACGAGCCAGTAGTTCAGACGTATTAATACGCCCAAATTCTAGCAGCTTCAAATCAAGCAGGAGAAAGCTGGTAGGCTCACATGTGAGAAAATGGGTCTGTGGTCGGTATGTGCAGTATAAATAAAATCCTGCAGTACGCAGTGCATGAGAAAAAACACTCCGACCATGTTTTGGGATTAAAATGCTGACTTTGAGGTGTATTTTTGTATAGTATTTATGGTTGTATTCTTGTTTTCTTGGTCTCATTTGATAGAATGGAAGACATATTATAGAAATAAAGATGATTTTGATTAGTTTCACAATAGAAAGGACCTTGAAATTGAGCTCAAAGTAGCAGAAATGTTCAATTTTTGCCGATATTCAAGAGTAATCACACCAAACGTCTAATACACATCAACTGGCGAGTCTAATATTCTTTCACAAGTGCACTGATTTTATTTATACCATTTTTACAATAATGCAGTAGTCTGCATAACAGTAAATCTTCTATTTTTTGTGTGAATAAAATTTCAGAATAGAAAGCAAGAGTAATATAAGAGGGGCCTGGAGACGTGACTAATGAACAGAGGAAATGTTATTTTAGTGCCAGGAATGTCTGCATTGTTTATTCTAGACCCTATATTGAAATTGGCATCTTTTCTAATTTGTGTGAAACTGGCCAAATTACCAATTTCTGACCACTTTATTTGGTAGCTGAAATCGGTAACTGGATGGTTTCTTGTACTCAGTCAATAGAACAAATGGAGTTCTAAAGAAATAGCTATGAGTTTGGTTGACTAGCACAAAGGAATTGTCCGAAAATAGGGCTCAAATTGGGGGAAATCGCTGATGCGTATATATCGCCGAGATCACTAACTTTGCGAGAGCGTAATTCTGTAAGTTTTCCATCGAATCTCGTACTCTTGGTGTCATTATCATCAGGAAAAGATCCTCTATCATTCATAAGACTTTTTTTTTTTTTCAAATATTTTGCAACACAGAGAGAGACTTCAGGATTTGGGGTTGCGACAGTCAAAGTGTTAAACAAACCGTGGTACTAAATTTGTCAAAAATTAATTATGTACCTCTCTCTCATGTATAAATCTTAAAAAATATACTTGTACAGAGAATTCAGATTTGTTGTGTTGAGGGTAATACAGTGGTAAACCAAGTTTCAAACTTATTTCATTCCAGAATGCTGTTCAAGTGCCAATACTGAATGAATTTGTTCCCATAAGGAATAATATAAATTAGATTAGTCTGTTTCAAACCCCCCAAAAATACACTTACAAACGCACTTACACAAATACACTTAAATAATTGTTCGAGCTGGGAGCAGTTCAAAACTCGGGGTACCACTGTATTTTCAAAGTCAAGAGTAAGGGCACCGTGGCCTAACTGCATCCTCCCTACATTAATATTCACCATTATCTCTTGTGTATAAATCATAAAGAGAGCCTTATGTGTACAGTAAGTCCCCATTTAATCTCATTTTGTTTTAAGGATGAGAAAAAAAATTGATTCCTGTCCTGGGCACTGTGTGTGGAGTTTGCACATTCTCCCCATGTCTGCATGGATTTTCTCTGGGTACTCCAGTTTCCTCACACATCCCAAAGATGTGCATGTTAGGTTAATTGGAGTGTCTAAATTGTTCCAGTGTGTGTGTGTGTGTGTGTGTGTGTGTGTGTGTGTGTGTGTGTGTGTGTGTGTGTGTGTGTGTGTGTGTGTGTGTGTGTGTGTGTGTGTGTGTGTGTAAATGTGTGTTAGAGTGAGAGAGAAAGATTGAGTGTGAGAGTGAGTGATTGCACCCTGCCATATTCACTAATTTTTTTTTTTAACTGCATGGTGGTAGGAGGTGCTCCTTACAAACATTCATTCGTTGATTTAACCCTGTTGCAAAAGTGCACCCCTGATGTTTATATAAATTAGCCTATGGTAAAATTGGTTTCATTATACATTGTTTCACTTAGAGTCATGGTTTCCAAAAACCTATCAACGACATTAAGTGAGAACTCATTGTAATTTGGATTTGGGGTGGGTGCCCAAGAGTTAGTGGAATTGTGAGTGCAAATGTGTTGGAGACATGATGATGCTTGAGGCTATGTTGAAGTAGAGGCAGTAGGTAATGACTTTTGCCTGATTTCTAACAGCAGAGTCTCTCCCTCTCTCTCTCGTGCCAGTTAACGCTGTATTGTTGCCATTTCATAATGGTCTTGTACACTGTGAAAAATTGTATCTCTCATGTTTGATCACTTCCATGAATGACCTGTATATATTTTGTAAGAATTACTGGGGACCAATTCAGCTGCCCCACACATGCAAGTCCACAATATCAACAAATCCAGAGTGTTAGTCAACTTATAAAGAGCCCAAATCCACATGGACTTCATCGATACTGTATCAGATCAACTGTTCATCACTTCAGTGAACCAGATTAATCTGGTCTAGGAGCTTTCCTGTAGACCTAATGTTCATAAAATTTATGGTATACATATAAAAATGGACCTAGGTAGTAGGTTGGTAGACAGCAACCACCCAGGGAGGTACTACCATCCTGCCAAGTGAGTGTAAAATGGAAGCCTGTAATTGTTTTACATAATGGTAGGATTGCTGGTGTTATTTTTTTTCTGTCTCATAAACATGCAAGATTTCAGGTATGTCTTGCTACTTCTACTTACATTTAGGTCATGCTACACATGCATGTACAAGCGTATATATGCACACACCCTTCTGGGTTTTCTTCTATTTTTCTTACTATTCTTGTTCTTGTTTATTTCCACTTATCTCCATGAGGAAGTGGAACAGAATTCTTCCTCTGTAAGTCATTCGTGTTGTAAGAGGCAACTAAAATGCCAGGAGCAAGGGGCTAGTAACCCCTTCTCCTGAATATATTACTAAATGTAAAAGGAGAAACTTTTGTTTTTCCTTTTGGGCCACCCCGCCTCAGTGGGATATGGGTGGTGCATTGAAAGAATTAGAATATAAAAATGGAGTCCTTACTACCCAAGGTAGTAGCTGTCCTTGTCCAAATAAATTTTGCATATGTAAATATGTAAATTATATTTCAACATCCACTTACAGTATTAGTGATTTTCTTTTAGAGACATCAGTGTTGTTTACTTCAACTAATGAGGACTCTTTGATAAATGTATAATGTAAAAAATTACAGTCCTTTCTAAATAATTAATGATTTCTTATAAATGGTGGGTATTATTTGCTTTGAATGCTTTGATCTTAGCCAAATATGACTTCTGTGTTTTCATCAAGTGGTTCCTCATCCCTGACATCATTTTTGATACACTGCAAGCTCACACTTAACATAGTGAAGATCTGATACATAACACTGAATTTGGAAACCAAATAATTAACCATATAAATTATACTCTGAAAAAATGGATGAAGGCAAATATTGTGTCTACACCTACATAAACCAAAATGAAACATGCACAGCCAATACATAAATATTTAAAAAAAAAAAAAAAAAAAAAAATTTGGTTATAGTTTTAAAGGTTAGCCACTACAGTAATATACGTATAT